AGGGAGTTTCCCTTCGTCAGAAAGGCCGTGTATACAAGGCCACAGTGAGGGCCGTTCCGCGCTATGGTAGTGAGACTTGACCCATTCAAGTCTTTGATCATCGGTGTATGCGAAGTATTGCTGGTGTCGGATGGCACCAGCGTGTCCGAAACCATGATGTGCGTAAAATAGTACTAGGTAGTGATAATCATGCTAGCTCCCTAGAACAACAGATAGCACTGAATAAGTTGCGTTGGCTCGGGCACGTGCTACGTATGCCTGGTCACCGCTTACCTAGGAGGGTCTTGTTCATTCTACAAGGTGGCGTAAGGCTCGAGGTGGACAGAAGTTAACTTGGCAGCAGGAAATGAAGTCACTGACGACCAAACTGGGTGCCGTTGGTCCGTCTCGCCTTCCGGGCTTGAGTCCACGTGACTCGCCTTGTGCTTGGCTCGCAACCGACACCAGTGGCGCGTCTGCTGCTGTCTCCTAATCGGATTGCCTGTTTAAAGTGTGTTTGGTGCTGAGTTATCTGCGGGGTAATGGGTGATTATGACGCGTGGCAGTGAAAGCCGCAAGGAAGCTGTCTCGCCGATGCCGCCTTGTCTTTGCACGATAGCCAGCTGTTTGTGACGGTATGTTGTCTACACAAGGTGTAGGCGCCTTGATCCTGAATGTTTTGCTTAGGGCATTAAGGTTTTCAGGTAAATCCCCCTTCTCTCACTCTTCTTATTCTTTATTTCATAGGTCCTCATGGCTGTATGGCAGCGAAGCATCAGTTCAAATGGCTGATGTACTGCTGTTGATGATGATGATGAACTAATAACACAACAATATTGGGGATGCTAATTAATATTAATTAATACAACTCAAACGGTTCAAGTTCATGGTCCAACCTGCCGCTGATCCCACACAGATTCGCGTTTTGATCTCTACCCAAGTTAGATTTCTAATTATAGATCGATTCACTCTTGCGGCACTGTTCTCGGCTTGAACGCTCGGTGTAAGCTATCTCCCTGTAACAATGTTGTGCCTTCTCGTCCCCATAGGATGTTCATCCGGCTTCTTAACTACGAGTTAAAGATCGTCTACCAGCCTGGAACACAAATGTACATCAAAGACGTGTTGTCGAGGGCTCATCTTTCGGATGTAGGCGCAGTACAAGAGGACTTTGACACGACACGCGACAAACTAACTAGCCGTCACCGGAGAGCGCTTACAACAACTGAGACGACGCACGGACGAAGATGGTTTGGAAAAGTTTAGAGCGAACAATAGCTGATGGATGGCCAGAGGATAAGAGGAGTTTGCCGGTGGAGCTAACACCGGCTTGATATTCAAAGCAAATCGAGTGTTACTCCCAAAGGTAATGTAACGAATCATGCTGGAGATCATTCATGGTGCACACTTCGGAGTGAATAATTGCGTCGTACGATCCAGGGAAATGATGTTTTGGCCTGGGATGGTTAGTCAGATTCGGGACTACGTGTCGAACTGCCCAACTCGTCGTGCACATGAATCTGAACAAAGGAAAGAACAAATGGCGGTCGAGAGGTTCCGGAAAGGCCGCAGTAAGTGGCAGTGGACCTATCCACGCACAACGGAAAGAATTACCCAATCACGGTAGATTACTTCCGTGACTATTTTGAGATCGATGCAATGCCCTTGACCAGTGCTCATGGGGTGATAAATAAGCTGCGCGGTCATTTTGCTCGACATGGAATCCTTGAAGAAGTAGTAGCACACAACGAACCGCAGTTTAGTATTCAGGAGTTCCAAGCATTCAATGAAAAGTGGAAATTTTAACATCGCCTCACCAGCCCTTACCACAGCCAGTCGAATGGAAAGGCTGAAGCAACAGTGAAGGATACAAAGAGAAAGCTAAAGAAGACCCGTATATCATGCTTCTGGAACGAAGGAACACCCCGTCTCCGGAAATCAGAGTGAGCTCTGTTCAACATTTATTCAGCCGCAGAAAAAGAGCTTTGTTGCCCGCGGACAAAATCCTGCCCCAACCGGAAGCACAATTCCCGGCTATGATACAGGATCGTTTGGAAAAGAGAATGTTTAGACAGAAACGGTATTATGATCGCTTGGGGTCGGCGAAGAGGTATGGATACAACTGGCGCTTGGAGCAGTAAAACAGTGGAGGAGAGGAGTGGTGGAAACGCGGGTAGGAGAAAGAAGTTATGTGGTTAAGGTGGGAAACGGTTTGTACCGGCGAGAGACTACGTGAGACTACGTCCGCCGAGGTGTGACGAGTGAATGACAAAAACCGCAGGAAATTAGAGGTGACGGAGAAGACAGGAAGAGGACGTGCAACAAAAGAGCTTACGGAATTTCAACATGGAAAAAGCCCAAACTGAAAAAGTGGGGGTGTGGTGTGAGCAAGGTAATGGCAGCTGTTGGTATTCGCCTATGCACACGGAACGAACAGGCATGAGGCCGCACGATTAATTGTCCGCCGTTAGTCCAGAAGCAACGCTGCACGCGTGAGCGAGAGTCGCTTGGTAAGCCCGCATGAGCAACTGCCTCGATGGATGAAGATTGCAGGTATCTGCCAGACGCAGCCAATGAAGGAAGAGCGAATCGGAGTCACAGAGCGGAGCGTTGGTTACCCTATAAATAATACGTTGCCTTATGATCCAAATAGAATCTGATCGCAGCCCAGTCTTTGTTTCTGATTCCTGGAGGACGTTAAATGACATGCTCTAAATGGAGCAACAATTTTTGACACAACCTCTCTAGCCTTATAGTATCGTGAAACAAATGATTTGCATCCATGGCTGGCGGGTGCCATTTGTGAGTGTGCTGTTGGAAATTAGTGCTCGCTAGAAAGAGACCAGCATATTCACACAACCGTTCACCGTTTTCATTACCGGAGCCTACACCGTGCTGACCACCCAGAAGCTGCTCACCAGTAGACGATTTTCCAATTTGGGCGTTCAGATTTCTAACAAGCACCACAGAATCCGTACCCTTCCCGAGACGAATGAACTCGTTCGATTGCTGATAGGAATCATCTTTCACCGAATCAGTGCAAGAGATTGTGGGGGCGTAGGCCGTAATGACGAACGAGTACCGTTTGTCCCGTGCGACTTCGAAGCTTGGAACGGGCCAGCCAATCTGACGGCGCACATCCGACTGTTGATTGGGATCCAATCGACCAGGGCAGCTTCAGGCTGGGGACTCAGTGCAATGCCCACACTGGCTTGACCGGCATTTGAATATACGTAATCTCCATACAAGCGCAATGAGAAAGTGCCGTCAATGTCATGTGTGAGGATCGCAAGGTAAATACAAAGTTAGAAGCTTGCACGCGGGTTTCCGAGAAGCAGTACATATTGATCGATGGGGTCTCTAGTGTTCGGGTAAATGCTGCCTGTCGGCCAATCTGTAATAAAGTGCGCACGTTGAGGTGTGTCAGTCTTAGGGAGGATGGGGGCTCCAAAAAGCGGATAAACTGACGTATTCCGCCTGGCTGAACATGGACTTGTCTACTAGACCATAATGATGCTTCTGATTGCGAGTTAGTTGAAACTAGGACACAAAAACCTATTGAAGCAAGATAAGGGTAGGCTAAGAATTGTGTGGTTGAAAACATGGGGGAATAAAGGTGAAGTCGGAACGAAACGATAGGGAGGGGAAAATGCAACTGCCCCATGCAGCAGACAGGACGCAACTGATTCCTCTCTGTGACTCCCAGAGCATCAAGGAACTGTTTGGAGGAAAACGCTTTGTATTACGTGGGCAAAATACTGTCTGGTTGCACAGGCTTAGAGAGGAGTACGATTATGGTTCTCAACCAGAGCGTTTGGCTCAAAATGCTGAACGAAAAGCAGCGGGATTTTCGGCTCTGGGCTACAGAGCATCCGTTTTACTGAGTAAGCAGGTACTCACACTCTAGTTGCCAACTTGGAGGACCGGGAGACTGAGTGCGTCTGGCCCCAAATCACTGACTAGTATGGTATGAATGGCTCTGAATGTACAAAAAGCTCCACCCAGCATAGCTCAATGGACCGCTGAAGTACGGAAGCCTTCACACCACGTTAAGGTCCAGTATAAACACGATGGAGACTTTGAAGGCACATGGATAGGGTTATGCAGAGTAGCACAATGTATCGTGAAAACACAAAAACCTTAGAACCGTCAACGTCAAGATTCGTCATGATAGAACATGAAAAGCGACATTTTCATGAACAAGAAAGCTGATAGTAAATAATGTCAACACAAGTCGGTGGAGTGATAAACGTTTGCGTAGTCTTCTCTCGCACTTTCGTTAGCGGTGAATTGTACCACTGTTGAGGTGTATGTCAATGCAACTGGATCGGCTAAAGTTCCTTAATGCTCATGCAGTCCGAAAATAGAAGCCTTTTAAGCCTGGTTTTATGCCCGTATTCCTCAACAGAAGTCCGGATATACCCCATTTGAACTCGTAGGTTAGGAGCCGACCAACAAGAGTACCCATAATGTTGGAATCGGCAAATGAGGCAGCGGAGGAGAGCGGGTATATGCCGGCAGCTTAGAATCTTCCTCTAGGTCATTTCCGTTGAACTATATAATTAGAGCTATCTCGACTGACTACAAGATTGTATTTCCCAGGGCTCAATTGAAGGCTTTGACGAAGCTTTTAACATCTAAATGGTCCGCGGTCTGAATAACGTTATCGGTTAGTCGGGCTGTCGACGGAAACCACAGGTACACGGTCCAGAGATGATCAGTTGAACTGAAATGAGTTCGCCGCAATTATAACACGGCAAACCAGCAGAAAAGAGAGATATCAGGAAAGCATGGTTCTAGAGAAAATCCTAAAAAATTACATGAAGAAATAGGAACACCTGGGAGGCCAAATAGAACCACAAAAATAATAAGGAAGGGCAACCAAAGAATTCCCCAACAAAAGACAGTAGAACTGGGCAGATACTAAAGATGAGCACGTGTATGGAGTTGGAAGTACAATCAGGTCGCTAGGTAAATTGAAAATGGGCTCTTCAGATCGACCGTTTTAAAAGTGCACATACCTTGAAGTAGGAAGCAATTCTAGTGCAGCACGACAGATCCACGGATAAACCATTTACCGCTCTCGTGGACGTGATTTGGCACGGTCTTGAAGGGTCTAACGGTAGGGTGAAATAAAGGGGGGTGCATACTATCAGATATCCGAATAACTCATTACTGTGCGAGAATGACAGGATTTCGCACCTGGCTTGCGATTTTCGGTGAGCGACAGAGCACCTCTGCGCTGTATAAATATTCCAAATGGTGTGTGAAAGTTTGATTTACAGCTTATGACGATAAGTACTTCGGACTGACTTATATGGAAAGCAAAACCGTTCCTGACATTGTGCCCTACGGCAGACTTCGTTTTCATTAGTACTATTAGGGTAGGAAGTGCCGATTTGTGACTGGAATTTGTTAAGTGGGAATAAACGGTAGATGCGATTACCCCTACATCCCGGAACGGCAAGCAACGCTTGTTACAGCAGTTGGAGACCAACTGCGAGGTCGAACAATCCCCGGATTGCAACAGTCTTGGCACAGCACTAACGATGGAAACACATGAGTCGCACAGCTTAAGCACCTTGGCAAAGAAAATGTAAAAAGACTGTGCTGTGGCACAATAGCTGAAAGGCTTCCTATTTCTGCTTAGCGTGTCGAATGAACATGGTGATGTTGCGTTCCTAAAACACGAGGGGGCCAAAGTAAGGATGCATAATCGATTCAACAGGGTAAACTGGATTCAGTGGAATTTGTGAGACATTCAGCAATTGGCATCAAGACTTAAAAAACACAAATAGACTGATGCTAGATAACATTCGGTCACCCGTATAATCGGTGATATGCTGGATAAATTTCGCTACTAACAGGCTAAACGAACTAGAATGTTGGGAATACACCGAGGTATGTGAACGAGACAGGGCGATCACAGCTTTCGTTCAGCTAGCGTGTAGATTTGTCAGGAAACGGGTAAACTAAGAAATTAAATCTTACCAGACAGATCGAAAACTTTAAGAAATGTTCCCGACATTCCAGCTATGAAGGAACTTTTCGATAACCAGGCAAAGGATGAGGTAATTTCCTGGGAACCTGAGGGAGCAAGACAAGTCGAATAAGAGTAGGTTCGACGGGGTAAGTGTGGGTCTGTGTTAAAAAGGTTGTGACTATTGCTGCCAAAAAAAAATCAAATTACAAACATCATAATCAACTCCCACCATATCCCATTCCGTAAGTGAATCGGAAGTGGAAAGTCTGAAATTATGCTGTCGAGTGAACGTAACTCGTGCGCAACAAAGTGTAACAGACTGCTAGATCGCAAGTCCCAAAAGGAACAAAACATAAAATAAAGAAACAAAACAAGCAAGAAATAAAAAATCGAACGTTTACAAAGCTCGTGAATCACCTACATGCGGTAGCGGTGAATGAAAACGAGAGAGCGAAAGTAGGGATCATATCGAGTTAGTTGTGAAATATCAGGCGACAGCTTCAACCGATGACGCTTGTCAAGAACCTTGTCACCCGGCCAGTTCCTAGGTGCATCGCTACGATATCATAGTCTGGTAGCAGTCATGTACCCCAACCAGATGAATGCCAGGTAGACAGCACATGTCGAGGCGAGTGGCCAACAGGATGAAAAGGGTGACCGAGAGAAGATATCAGGCAATTCAGTGTACAGTACGCCTATCATAAGACAGCGGCTAGTGATCGCAAGTAAGACTAATTGGTTTCGTCGGACGTGAATGATCATAACTGAGTAGATAACGAAAATAAGGGTACTTAACACGTTCTGTCTACAGTGGAGTAGTCACCGTGCCCGAGTGCCATCGTTGAGCTGTAGACCACGCTTCTACATGACAAGCCACTCCACATCGCTGAAGCCCGGTCGGCATTCATCATTCTGAGGTAGCTGTGGCACCGTTGCAACGTCTTCATCTCGGTTATGGGCCGTGTTTACAGCGTTTGTATCCCCTCAGTGTTGTTATATCGTCTTGGACAATTCGTGTGGAAGGAAAGCGCCAGCATTCCGACTTCGACAGATGCTTTTCAAGGAAGATCAGTCGTGTGTGGTGACAAAACTGAGTTCGCAGTAATGACGCTGGACGTTGTGTCCTAGGGAATTCCAGTGTTCCCTTTAACAAGCTGGCTTTGATGCGCTAGTTGAGATGGCTCAGTCACGTTCTATACATGACATAGCAATGACTACTGTGCCGCGCTCTACTCGCATGTGAAGGATTGGGCTGAATGCGATCTACTGCTGGCACGCCTGCTGCTTGGCGACGCCAGATAAAATCATTGAAGTCGATCCAGCCACCGTTGGACGCGTACATCTTCCTGGCTGAGGATGCAAGAGTGTGTGATGTCAAAGGTAGTACAGTCGTAAAGATTGTCGCATATTCACCCAAAGCCAAGCCCTAATGCACTCATGCTTAGAGACACCACGCATACAAGCACAAGCACACAGGTCATTCTCCCCGTGACCCCAATAAAGGACATCGAAAAGATCCAGTCAGACGATGACTACATTGTGTTCCATCCACACGTGTTTTCTTTAACCTGGGGTTGCGGGCGCTATAGAACATACGCTCCCGAACGTTTATTTAACGAGACTAAGACGTATTATTGGGCGACGGAGATAACAATGTCCATTGTGAATTCACCCATGCAGTTCTGGTCATGTTCTGCAGAAAACCGTATATGACCAATTGGAATAGAAGACGAAAACTTTCTGACTCTCTGGGATTACTTCCAATCTTGCATCCGCTAGTGTCTCTTACCGAGTAACACAAGATCAAATAACTACGACAGTTCTTTGGAGATGAAGAATAACGATACTTCGAGGCTCTCCATATTAACGACGTCAATGCAACCACAGCCAGTGGATTGGATACGTTCGGTGATCTCTGGGGTGTTCAACAAAACATCTTTTACGGCCAGGTACTATGGTTCCAAACTGCCTCGGTAAGAGGCCCCTCTATGCTAATGCACGCCACTCAACTGCGTACTGATGACGTCACCTCGATTGGTGACGAAACGTTTGCAACAAAATTGTCAAGCACAGCGAACAGTTCAACCGTGTATCAGAATGTCGACAAGAGTAAACAGTGTGCCGATGGTGTGGAAAAGTGAGTCATTTGGTGCGAGTATGCAGGTCAGTTAAGCTTCATGCGGAATTATATAAACCACAAACACAAGTAATCCAAGTAGTGGATTATTCTTAGGAGATCGAACCCGAATTGCAAGCAGCATGGCTGAATAACGTGTCCAATATACGTTTAGAGCCATACACTTTTGAGCTCTATATCCAGCGTAGTGATGGAGATAGAAATAGGAGCATTCGTGACAATAATTAGGGCAAACGCTGCGAAGCACTTAACACCATGTCATCATGCACTTCTAACCTACAGACGTACACAAGTGAACCGGTTCGTGTTCGCGATAACCGCCTTGTCAAGACATGATACGGCGCTGAGACACACGAACTTCCTATACGAGAAGGACTGGATAGACGCATTCCCTAGTAGGCTGAGTGTTCTTAAAATAGTTACAGAATCCGTTGAGCTGGAAGGAATTTTGGAATAACAATCAGATATTTTTGCGGATGAGTTGGGAAAGACGAGTTTTGGACCACAATAAGTTTGAAGGAAAGTGACCCGCTTAAATTTCATTAAGCACTAACACTACCGTAGGCCTTGAGACCCAAAGTTGAAGAAGAATTGGACCGCTAAAAATTTTAAGGCATAATAATGTCTGTGAAATTTCTCATTAGGGGGAAGCCAATTACACCGGTGGCCAAACCGGAATCTGCGGTGACTATAAGATAACTGTCAACCAATCTTCCTGATAGTCAGATATAAATTACCAGCATTAAAGACTTGTATACCACATTTGCAGGTGGTGAAAGATTCACCAAACTTTTCAGTCCCGTATATTTACAAATAGGCTTGATGAGACTTTACGTAGGACTTTAACAACACACCCGTTCACCTTTTTGGCATCAATTCTGTCCGGGTATCTTTCAAACGATTATTGATGAGTTGGTAAAAGATATAGGAAGAAAGGCACCAACAGTTATCCCGGTACGCAGTACCCAGGCTTTGCTGCCACGTGACCACCAACCGTCACGCGTGGGCTAGGGATGCTGCGTAGGTTGCCAGGTCACCTACGCAGACTCGAACCCGTTACTCTAGGATTACAAGGCAAGCTTGTGGTCCTTAAGACCACGGGCCGTTGGTAAAGGATATACCTTTAACCTGCGCGTATTTAGATGAAATTCTCATCTCCAGACGACCCTAGGCGGAACGCTTATGAACACCATTTCCTGATTTGAACAATTGGCACGAAGCGGTTAAATTGCGAAGGTCTAAGTGTGAGTTCCTTTCTTCCTATGTGCGCTATCTTGGATAAAGACTTGATAAGGCCGATTTACATGCTCCAGTTGGCAAAATAAAACCCATTTTAAGAAGCCCTGAACCGATAAAATTTAATGAGTTCTATCCGTTTCCAGGAATGCTATCTCATTATCGTCATTTCTTACCTGATGAATTCACTGTGTTCTCTTCACTGAATGAGATACTCCAAAAATGTACCGTGGTGCTGGGGTCCTCGGCAGAGTGCTGATTTCATCAAAAACAAGTAGGCCCTCGCCTCCTCACCAATGCGAGTTCTATATGAGCCCAGGAAACCCTCGTTCGCCAATGCGAAGCATCTCCTTGAGATATGGGTGCTGTCTTGTGGCACTGCATGAATGAACAAACCTTGCGCCTCATAAAGTTTGTATCACGCACTCTGTAACTAGCGGAAAGAAACTAATCACAGCTAGACAAGAAAGCCCTATCCGTAATCTACGGTGTGAAAAGGGACTGTCGGAATCACTGGGTTTTTGTTGAACTCCACAGAGAGCACAAGCCATTGATATCATGCTTAGAAGAGACCAAAGGTATATAACAAATGTCTTCACTAAGAATGCAGAGATGGACTCTTATGTTGAGTGTGTAGAATTACAAAATTAGCTATATTCCTTGTGCCAGCAATCGCACAGTTAATGCCCCGAGTAGTCTACTCGTTTAATGGAAGTCACATGAACCTGATCTTCCCTGTGAATTGGCTCACCCGATGCAACCTCTCGATACAGAACTCTCTAAGCAGCTATACAATCCGTCAATGGGTGGAACGAAACCGTTCCTTCAATAATTATACGCTTCTCAACAAATGGAAGGTCTGTTGAAGGAGCCGTCGACTTGCAGTTATTTATAGGATGCAGGGGTGAGCTGCGCTTGTACGACGGTTGTGTTTTGGAGTTACCGGATGGTCCCTACGAATTCATGCGTCGGAATAGATGAGTGATAGAAGAGGTTAGTGATTTTAAAAGAGCTGAAGAAAGATGTTATTTTAAGGGAAAATAACTTGGTCTGCACGAAATTCCTGACATCAAAATTCCTTCCTCGAGAAGCCAAAACATTGGCCAGCTTCCAGACTGTCGTCTTATTCATCAGCGTTCAGACCATATTCGTCCGTGGAATTCAGATACACCATAAGACCAACAGACAAAGTTGCACGCAGAGAGAAGGAGAGAGAACCACCCACTGAGGGAGATCAGTATGCACAAATCAGCGAGATGCTACAGAGGCGAGGGATTCGTAATTTCAAACCAATCGAAGGTTTTCAACCGGCACTGTGCTGACAACTATGGTGCTGAAGAATGTCGTAAGTTCACCTAAGATAAAGCCCTAATCCACTCATGACCAGCGACACCAGACATGGTTGGCGGCATCCGGTTTCGGATTTGCCTGCCACTGTGGCCAGCCACAGGACGCCAGACATCCATACAAGCGTACACACACACACACACACACACACACACACAATTCTCCTCGTGTCACCAGTAAAAACCATCAAGAATATACACTAAGGTGTTGAATACACCAATTCAAGCCAAGAAACAGGTTTATGCACCCAGAAGGGTGAATACTCAGCTGTTACACGCACGGCTTTAAAATAGTAAAAAGAAGGAAAATTAAAATAGTGAATACACAAGTAGATTAACAAGTGGGACAGACAGCAATATGGTTAAAATGCAAACCTGCCTATAA